GGCGCTGGGCAGCACTATGTTGGAGGCCTATAGACTAGGCCACTAGACCTTTTGAACGAATGCGTTTAGTATCGCTCGAATCAGCATAAAACGCTGAACGGAATAGGCGACAATTTCCAAATTACGAATCCAAGGTGTTCAACTGGCGACGATTTTCCTAACACTCGGCGCCGCCTCGCCCTCCTCGCACCGGCTCGAGCCGACCCCCACTCCCGCTCGCTGCCGCCCGGCCGCTGCCGGCCGAGCCGCACGGGCGAGGTAGAGGGGGTAGCCAGTCCGTGCCAGCATAGGGCGCGCCCAGCCTAGGCCGTTGCAACTCCCCTCCTCCTCCCTGCCTGTTCCTACTCGAGTTATCGTGCATACAGACAAACAAACAGAATGAAACTTTTTCTGTCAGTGGAGTAATGGGCTTCGCTTATCGCTCAGCCAGTCACCGAAGTAGAGGACGTGAGGACCTAGCGTTTCCGAGTGTGCATTATACCTTAAGAGAAAATAGACGTCTATAGATTTCGATAGATCGTCTAATGCCCGTCTAGCTGGTCTAAGGTTTTAGACGGCTAGACGTAGATGACTTAAAGAGGTCAAGTAGACATCTTTTGACATCTACGACTAGTTTTCGTCGAGAAACAGACGACCCGAGACGATCTATTTCTTGTCTAACATGTCGATGTACTTAGACGTCTAGCGCTAGACAAAGTGTTGACGTGTCGAGATGATCTATTCCCTACCTTTTCCATCTACGACATTTAAAAGGCATCTAAATAGGCCAATAGACGTCTAATGATAGACGTCTAATATGGTATTTCGATGGAGCGCTGCCCGGAACTAAGAAGAACAAAACCGGATACAGAGAGCGGTGGTGGGGGCGGGCGAACGGAGGAGCGGAGGGCGGGCGGGGAGGCTCCCCTCCACCCGTTCTTCTTAGTTCCCGGCAGCGCTCCATTGAAATACCCTATAGATGCCTCCATAGAGACAATCAAGACGGTCTTATTGGCTGAGCGATAGCGAAGCCTATTACTCCAGTGATGATCAAAAAGTTTCGTGTGTGTATGTTTGTCTGTAATCACGATAACTCGAGAACGGGTTGAGGTAGGTACCTGAAATTTTTAGCGTAGCTTTGTAGCATAAAAAGCAAGAACTGTATTGATTTTGAGTCATCTAGCTTAAAAATGGAACTGTCAAAAAAATCAAAAACGAAAACCCCAAAACATTACTTCTAATTTTTACTTTTTTTTTACATCTTCGAAAGACGTAACTCGTGAAAGTAGAGCCCGTAGGGTCAAAATTTTGTCCGTTTGGCTCTATCTCGCACCGTTTAGTCGCCAGAGGGCGATATCCACACGAAAATGACCCTAAACCATTTTAATGTTGTTTCTCAGATATTTGACAGTCTCTGGTGGGGCAACTTGTCAAAATAAAGTCCTGGGGGTAGAATTTGTGTCTTTTGGAGCCAAAGGCCTATCTACGACTCTGCCTTTTGACCGACTCGGGTGTCAGCGCCGCAGGCCTAGGTAGATGTATGCCAGGCGCGTCGCAGCGTAACAGTATTTCGTGATATCTCGCGAAGCCTGTTACGCGAGATGTGGTCTGGCGTACATCTAACTAGTAGACGTCTACCGAAGAAGTCTATTAGACAACTTGCCGTCTAGCAGTAGATGTCTATTAAACATCTAAAAGACGTCTATTTTCTCTTAGGGTAAGTTCTTGATATCCTCTCCCTGCCCGTCACCGCTTCAGTAACTTTCCCAGATAAACTACTAAGCGCCGCGCAGCACACAGCTTGAGGGCTACACTACCTTTCACTGGAGGATGGTGACGTGCGACGATCGAAGAAAGCGCGGAGACAAATCCCTGGTGGTGGCGGGGTGATGCACAGAAGCGGCGAGCGGTCCGCAGAGATGCTGCCTCACGGCGGGACGACGAGCAACTGCCAGCGCCAGCCGCGTCGGGCCAGACGAGCGACGAGCCGCACGGGACGCTCGACGGAACAGGCCCGGGGGAAGGGGGGGGGGGTCAGCTCTACCGCTCCCGGGCCCCCCGGAACGACCAGACTTCACGGGACCACAGTGTGGTGTGGCTCCCCCCCACCCCCACCCTCCCCCCAACTTACCCTTTTCCTTATAAAAGTCAAAAAAGCATTCCGGTAAAGATGAAATGCAGAAGAATGCGGGGAGGAAGAAACCGGAAATCGCTATGCTTTAACATGGTGACTTCCACTTTCATCTTCCCCGCATTCTTCTGCATTTCATCTTCACCAGTATGCTTTAGTCAGCATCAGCATAGGCTATTCCGCTCGACGCGGTAAGAAGAACACAAGAATCACAAAAGACGAGGGTGGGGGTAGCGAGGCGGCTTCCCCACCCGCCCGCGCTCCCCGCGCCGCTCCCCCCACCCTCGTCTTTTGTGATTCTTGTGTTCTTCTTACCGCGTCGAGCGGAATAGCCTATTGGATATGTGTATACAAAGGTGCCCACCTTGGCGAAAATAGACCTTTTCGGCAGTGGTTGAGGTTAGAAACAATAAAGCATAGAGTACTCCGAGGCTCGGCTAGACCGGAAGGAGAAGAACAAAAATCGTCGGGCCGGTCGGGCGCGGGGAGGAGTGGGGTACTGCCCCCACCCTGCCCCGCTCCTCCCC